CACCCAAGATCACTTTTTAAATGTCAGAACAAGCCAAGATCTACTGCCCCATCCCTCCCTCCCCCCCACCCCAGATAACCAGAATTTTTAGGATACCGGCATGCCCTAATTCCTGGGCATGCCAGATAACACAGGTTTTACTATATTAATTGAGGGGTACAGGATCTGGGAGAGGGAAAAGGTGCAGGAGTGGATTATGACCTGGAGAAGGTGAGTAGGGGGGAATGCAGTGGATTCTGACCTGGAGAAGGTGAGTAGGGGGGAATGCAGCATCTCACGGGAACTTGTGACCTGGGACAGGGGTGTAAAGAGCTAACCAGTTACTTGGCAAGCATCACCCTCACCAGTGATGCTTGTTGGGGGTGATTAGCCAACGGGGCCTGCTGGACTGCAGCACCTCCTCCCCCCGCAGCCACGGTGCAACAAAACGGGCCCAACCTGGCCAGAGCAGTCCCTTCTACTCACACAAGCACCACACTCCCGGGGATCCTGGTTAACTGGTTACACTTAACCAGTAAACATTTTAAATGGGATTTTACATGCCTACAGGTGTGCAGGAGGGGGTGGACAGTGTTTGGGTTGTAACATGGGGCAGGGAGTTGGAGTACAGTGGAGATACCAGCAGGACCCTTAGGCAGGCTCTTTACCTACTGCATCTCTACATGCCACTCCAAGTGGTCAGCTGCTGAGGTCAGCATGTATGTCTGTTCATGACATGCACTTTGGAGGGGTCTCCATGCGCTGCATACAGGCAACAGGAGCTGTGAGGATCATGCTGTGGGGACAGGAAAACACAGACATCTCTCCAAGGGGCGCACCACAGACCAACAAATCACTAGCCCCAGCAGCCAGTTGCTTTGAGCAGCATGTGGCAAGAAACCTACACAGGGATCCTGCTGGGCTACAGGACATGAACAGCCCCAAGTACTGTGGTAGGCCTGATGTGACTGTTTGGCAGGCCAGATCCAGGCCATGGGCCATATTTTGCCTGCCCCAGCTTCTCCAAACTAAAAAAAAAAAAAAATTTTTACTGCTTTAACTATACCAATATAGGAAAAGCTGCATAACCCCCCAGCAAGGACTTACTGGTACAGTTATTTCCAAACAGAGTGGGGCCCACAGAGTGGGCAAAGCGGGAGGGCCAGCTCCACAGCCCCCAGAAAGATTGGGATCTTGGGCAGAAGGGGCAGACCTGGTGCTAGCTTTCCCCAGGCAGCCTCAGCGTCACTCAGAACAGGGATGTTAAATATCAGTTAATTGAATAGTTGATTAACCTCATGAATTTTTATCATTTACTTGACTATTCTATAGTCCCCAAAGGTGGGGCCACGAGCCAGTGTGCTTTGGCCTCACTCCCGAAGAGACCCCTGTCACTTTACGCTGTTGCCTCTGTATGAGAGGTGGCAGCGTGGGATGCTAGGCAGGACCTGATCCATGAAGAGAGCCAATTTAAAAACCAGCTCTCCTCACGGACTGCCTGCCTGTCACCCCGCATTGCTGCCTCTGTTATAGAGGCAGCAGCACAGCAGCAGCACAGGGTGACAGCAGCTCCTGTGCCGTGGTGTGGGGGGGCAGGGAGAGAGTCTTAGCTTCCGGACCCAGTGCAAGCCAGAACTGAGCCGGGCTACCTGCCCACCCAGTTCCTAATACACTTTAAATGCAGAGCAGCAGTGTGGAAGATCTCGAACCCAGTGTACACCAGGACTGAGCCAGGCTGCTGGCCAACCTGCTAAAAAAATTTACTGGCCAGGTGAGGGAAGGGGGGGGGGGGAGAATGTGTGTAGTCTATAGCATTAACCAACAAGCTTTTGCTTATCGGTTAATCCACTATACTATTACATCTCTAGCCCAGAGTGCACTGCACCTACCCCAGACAGCACTGAGCACTGCCCAGAGTACTGTGTATGGGGGTCTGGCAGCAAGATAAAGGATCCAGGGCTCCAGCCATCACAATAGTGGTAGCAATGGTGGCCAGGAGTACCATGCCACGGGGCAGTTGCCCCCTTTGCCATCACCTTCTCCACCCCCACCCCCAGGTTCCCAGACATTGTCCATATAGGAAGGCAAATAATACCAGTACACACTTTTATACTCAGACACATGCATATCAGAGTTTTACTGGTATGACAATTTTGGTTAAGTACAGCTTTACCCCAACAGATAAAAGTTACAGTGACAATGGGGGGGAAAAAAGGTAGATCGGGCTTAATAGCAAAGGCACTTAAGACAACATCTACAATCGCATTTCTTTTCAGTGAAGCTTTTGCTGGTTGGGGGATGTGAAAAAACCTACAACCCTGATGGACACAAGTTTCACCGACAGAAGCACCAGTGTGGTCTGCACTACACTGGTGGAAGATGCTCTCCCGCCAACATTGTTGCCACTTGTTGGGCGTAGTGTTATTATGTCGAGAGCTCTCTCCTGTCAGTGTAGAGACACAGGAGACCTTAAAACACTGTAGCTGCAATGGTACAGCTGTGTAACTGTAAGGTCTGTTGTGTCAACAATGGACTCATTTCATGTTAGCCAATGAAAAATACCAGACAGTACCAATTTTCAGCAGTGACAGAGTTCAAAGGTTTCACATCACCATGAGCCCCAAATACATTTTTCTAGTTGTAACTGACAAAGTCATTACATATACAACTACAAATGTAATAAGACATCCAAATATATTTTACAATCATTACTCCACTGTTACATGCTCACAATAGCTTCCACTTTTTAAATATCTATTGCTATCACTAGTGTATTTGCATTTTACATATAAGAAATACCTTTAGTCCCTTATGTTACAAAGCACAGTACATAATTCTCTAAAGAGAATGAAGGCACGTGATATAAAATATGGGCCTTAGTCTATAATCCTTAGTCATGTGATTTTTTTTCTCTTAACTAAGAATCCCATGAGCTCAACAGGACCACTCATGAGCTAGTTTCAAGACTGGACCCTGCATACCTGTACAACCACTTAAACACAGTCACCTTTCAGATGAAGGCAAGCAACATGACCTTGCACTCCAGAGCATGCCGAACAATGATAGTGGGAGGTGATTTTACTACAGGTGCAGCACAAGCGCCTATTCTTTTACATATGTATTACAGGATATTTAAGGACCTCTCTTCATCTGAGCACATCCTGATGGAATCTGTACATTCTCACTACATCTACATAGGGGAATTCAAAAGTTATTGTGCCACAGTCCCCACTCCACTTCTCCTCAGGCAGGACCAATGTACCTCAATTACTATAACAGGAGCACTGAGCCACTCACTGCAATGTGTTGATTTCACAATAGTAGCTAATTAAACCGTTTTTTGCTCGTAACTTTCATGTTCAATCAACATGCAAGAGGAAAACGCTCCAGAACTGTAAAGGCCTGGAATGGGGGCGGGGGGAAGAGGATCTAGTCTAAAAATCTTCCCAGGGAAGGACTGGAGAGGGCAGGGGGGAAACGTTGATTGACTGGGGAGAGGGGGTGCACGGGAGGACACAGAGCAAAGGGGCTGTGGAAACGGGAGGGGCGAATTGTTTTCAATGGGCGCTGGGTGAGTGGCTACACCCCACGTCTGTCCTGGTGAGGGAGAAAAATTAATGGGGCGGGGCAGGTTACAGAGCCTAATGGAAGAGAGACATTTTGCAAGACA